CTTACAAACTCTGTCAACCAAAGAGTATATATATATATATATGTGTGTGTGTGTGTGTGTGTGTGTGTGTGTGTGTGTGTGTGTGTGTGTGTGTGTGTGTGTGTGTGTGTGTGTGTGTGTGTGTGTGTGTGTGTGTGTGTGTGTGTGTGTGTGTGTGTGTGTGTGTGTGTGTGTGTGTGTGTGTGGTGAATTGAAAGTTAATTTGGTCACTCATTTAGGCTTAGAAGTCATCTCTTCAATAAATACAAGAGGCATCAATCAGTTTGGCTTTAAAATTTTTATTTATCACATTTGAAGATTTATAGAAATGACCTGCTAACTTATTGCAGTTTTTAGTATGGCTGTGTGTGTGTGTGTGTGTGTGTGTGTGTGGTGAATTGAAAGTTAATTTGGTCACTCATTTAGGCTTAGAAGTCATCTCTTCAATAAATACAAGATGCATCAATCAGTTTGGCTTTGAAATTTTTATTCATCACATTTGAAGATTTATAGAAACGACGTGCTAACTTATTATAATTTTTAGTATGACAGCTATTTCTTTTTTGCAGTTCAATATTTTTATTGATGATTGAATGAGTTAGAATATTGACCACGAGGTTATGTAGGAAATTGAAGATTGATTGCAGTTTTATCGATCTTCAAATAGAGGTTCACCATCACAATGTCATCCAAGGGCAAAGGATTTCAAGATGTTTGTTATGGAGTTTCATGCCACAATTTCACATGTTATAATGTAACTTTAAGTTTTATTATGACATGTCTAATTTGATTTGTTGCTACTTGAAGTGACCTACCAAATCAATTGAACACGATGAGTTGACTCGTGCTCACATGTTATAATGTAACTTTAAGTTTTATTATGAAATGTCTAATTTGATTTGTTGCTACTTAAAGTGACCTACCAAATCAATTGAACACTATGAGTTGACTCGTGGCAGAGGACTCCATAGGTTTAATTGCATGAGCCATCAGTCTCATTGGTGGCTCACTTGCTAGCATTCCTTTTGCCAACTTGTTCCCTCGACATCTTGCTACCCTTTACTTTTGGTTCACACCTCCAACTATGTTCATCAACTCACAATACGACAACCTTCTTTAGAGCCCAACTGATTGGCTTTGACTAGACTAGTCTCAATTAGTCATTTTAATATTAAATTAGGCTTGCTGACAACTTCATCTCAACCATCTGATATTAATTATTTAAATTGTCCATCAGACTTCTAATATTTTTCAGAGCATTAAACTAAGAAACTCAGGATGGCACAAGTACGTATCACAAATTACTAACATACAATTATAATAACTCTTATTAGTATCTAATGAGAATCCCATATTATTATCTAATGCCTCATGGGGGGTTCAAAATTTTGATACCAAACTAATATAAATTAAATGTTCCCCTTTCTTCTCGTCTTCTCATCTCTCTCACCTATTAATCATCGTTCATTGAGACCAAATAAATATGGTTCACAAAAAATAGGCTTCTTGTTCATCAGTATCATAATGAAGCAGCCCCAATTATTGATGGGCAGTAAGAAAAGTTTGGTTTTAGCCCATTATGGCCTATATGACTACAAATAGGGAGGACCCAATTGTTTGTCAAATATTCTCCATTTATGGGAATGAGAAGGTTTGGAATCTCAACCAAAAAATATTCATTTTTTATTCATAGTGGAAGCCTGAGGTGGTTTTAGCCCATTATGGCCTATATGACTACAAATAGGGAGGACCCAATTGTTTGTCAAATATTCTCCATTTATGGGATTTGGAATCTCAACTAAAAAATATTCATTTTTTTATTCATAGTGGAAACTTGAGGTGACCTGAGGTGGCCATTGCTTTTTGGTGAGGTTTATTATGTCTGGTAAATCAGATGTGCGGACAATGATGCAAATCACACCACTGTGTATTCGGCGGCATGATGTGATCCACTTCTTCATCCTCTCATCCCTCATCTAAAAGTATAGGGATTTTTACGTTGATAGAACCCAAAGCTCATCAGTTTACATATCTCACAGCTCAAATATAAAATTAGGTGCATGACACCCGAATCCCTAAATATCTCAAATATAGGCTCTTGTTAGTGTCTCATCATTATCTCACAATTTAAATCAATCGCAACATTTCCCCAAATAAGTAAGTGTTAGCCCTAGAAGCTATTCTAAATATTTCTTTAATTTAAATTTAATAAGATTGAGCTATTAATTTTAAAATTAATCTTAACAAAAAATGAGCATTGATCTTAAAAAAGCCGGAAAGCACATTTAATTTTAGGGGCATTCGCATACATATCACCCAATTCTCATATATTTGATACCAAACGTATCATATTTTAACTTTTAAAAAGTGAAATACGAAACATAAGATGTTATGCACATAAAAGTAAAGTTTGGGTCTAGATATGTAAATACCTAAAATTTAATAATAAGGACATAATAAGCTTAAATTATTGGATCCTGAATTGCTCTTAAGCCACACCATCCTCATTACAATATCTTAAAGAGATAAAATGCTCTCAACTTATATTGATTAAAGGAATAAAGTATAAGAATGTAATTTTATTTTTTAATCACCAATTACTTTTGAGTATCAACCTTGACTCTCAATTTATAGCTTTCAGTTCATACTCTATCATAAAGTGCAAATTGCAAGAGATTTTAAAGTGCAATTTGCAGATTCATAGAGCTCTCAAGGGAGAAAATCATCTTCCAAATTGAAGAGTGTAAATTGCCATAGGCCAAATTGAGGAGCAGCTTTTTGTCATTTGACTATCTGAGTATGACAATTGACTAATCAAGTCATCCTATATGACTAAACTTGAATGACAATTGTATTTAAATGTCTAACATCTAAACTTGAATTTTTACATAAAAATAGCCTTATTTGTGCATGCAAATTTGTATTTCACTATTTAAAAGTTAAAATGTTGATATTTTTTATATGCAAGATTTGGTTCGAAAAAATGTCAAAAGCAAAGTTCAGGTGTTATATATGTGGAAAATTATTCTATCAGGACTCCTAACGTAGAGAAATTTTCGGAGTCCACTAATATGCAAACACATGATTTCAAGGAAATACGCGCGTTTTCCTGTGATCTGGCCCAGTAACACAAGATATTTCTCCTGCGTTATTATGTATCATTCAGGTGTTATTGTGATGGTATTGATGTGTTATTGTGTTATTGTGTTATTACAAAACCGGGAATATTCTCTAAACACAATAACACATGAATATCATTACAATAACACATGAATAATGTGAAATAATACGAGGAGAATATTCCCTTTCGCTAAAATGATTTTTTTTTATTTTTTTTTTTCACCTCCACATGACATCATTTCATTGAACTCCGAACGTATCTCTCGTTCAAGATATGTAAATAATACATAGGAACTGGGTGGTATGGTGGTATGTATGCAAATTCCCAATCAAGATTGCTCAACATTTGTTTTATTTATCATATTGACATTTATCCAAAAACATTACATAAAGCTCACTCGACTATAATATAAAATTATAAATAGGAACATTTACATACATACCAACACCAACACAATTCTTATGTATAAATAAGAACATTTTGACGTCATTAGAAAAAGGTAAACAGTTTATAATAATGATATTAATGATGTAATATTACATATTTAAATGTTATGCATGACAAATATGAAAGTTAAGACATTACATATATAAATACATAAAAAATTGTGTTTCAATATGTTGATGCCTCAAAATTGTGTATTAGATTTTTTTTTTAAATTAAAAAAAAAAATTGAAATATAAGAAAAAAGAATGCAATACTATGCAGATATGTCATTTGCCAGGTCAGTGGCCTCTAAAGAGATAAAAAAGGAGAATTTACATACATACAGCCAATTTTTATGTATTTACATATCTGGCACCTAAACTTTGCCTTTTTTACATTTATGCAAAACTTTCATATCACATAAGAAAATATCACTTTATCCTTTTAAAAAGTGAAATACATCAGGTGGTATGCATGTAAAAATTAATGCCTAGATGTTAAATATGTGAATACGTAGGAATTGAGTGGTTTGTATGTAAATATTCCAAAAATGAGGCATTTACGTGCATGCCACTCAATTCTCATGTGTTCACATATCAAACACCTAAACTTCACTTTTTAAATTTATATCACCAAAATCTTCCATATCACATCAAAATTACCACTGATTTAACGATTAAAGTAAAATGCACCTTTATCATTCATAAGTGGCATATATATAAAAATTAATGCTAAGTCGTTAAATATATAAATATATGATAAAAATTGAGTGGTATGTATGTAAATCTTCATTTATCTTCAGGCTATATTGATGTTATTAATGATAACACATTATCTTAATGTCAAATCCATGTAGATATCATCTGATGGTCAAATAGTAGTGGAAAAAATGCACAATTTTAAGTAGAAGAGCTTACTTGAAGCATTATTCTCTGTCGCATCAGATATGTCAATAATCCAAGCTCGATAAATAGTTTATAATCACCAGAATGAGGTTGGTAGTGTCTGCCCACTGCAATTAATCATCAAGAATCTAAAATAGCTGTTAGAATTTGTGATGTGAAATATGTTGGGCTTGGATTGAGAAGTTCGAGGTGCGACGTATGCGATGTAACAAAAATTATGGTACTATATGCATATATATATATGAGTCCGTTACACATCAATATAACACATAAATTTTATGTTTTACATTTATATCATCCAAATATTTCATATCACAAAAATAACACTATTTTAACCTTTAAAAAATGGAATACAAATTTTCATGCATAGCTAAAAGGCATATAAGTAAAAAATTGAAGTTTAGGTGCTAGAAAAGTAAATATATAGGAATTAAGTGGTATGCATATCTCTCTCTCTCTCTCTCTCTCTCTCTCTCTCTATATAT